TGGATCCATGGCTCGAGCTTTCATTTCTGGATCCATGGCTCGAGCTTTCATTTCTGGATGTGCAGTTGCTCGTTTCACCAGCTGATGGCCACAGTCTCTTGCAGTTGATTGCACGGGTGCTGAGGCACGGAAGGAGGAAAAGGAGACAAATCCTTAAGGGCATGTATCTAGAAATTATTGCAGTTGGGAAAAATTTGTCTCCATTACTGATTTCTCTTCCATCAGGGGTTCAGCCAAATCTGGAGATGCTGGCATTTGTTGTAACATGCCTAAGATTGCTAGACTGCTTAAAACACAGGTCAGCATTGTCAATGTGACCTAATTCTTATTCCTTCTGATGTTCCAGCTGATAAAATACCATCTGGAATAAGGAATGCTGGGGATATGGATTTCTTTGGATATAAGTCTAGTACTCTGAAGATCAGCTTCTCCTTTTCCCTGAAAAAAAGTCAGGACAGTAGTTTCTGTGAGACAGTATAGAGGAAATACTTTTGAGAAAGTATGTCCATGCTTTCCTTTAACTGATGGCATGTTTAAAATTTTTCTTGTTTCGCTTCCGTAATAAAAACCATAAGGATCTTTTTTCATCTGTCTAAATCCCCTGCATATGACAAGTTGGAAGTGCCAGTTTGAAATATGCCATTATCTTAAAAGAAGCATGAGAAATTTCATTTTCACAGCCTCTTTTATAAATGCTTAAAGGCAAAAGCATGGTCTTAGAGCATCATCACTTTTATACATAAAAAAAAATTGAAATAATCTCAAATTCATCATTTAAGATTTTTAAACAGGGTTGTACTAAGTTATGATGTCTTTGAGATTGTGCCTGCAAAAAAAAAAAGGTCTATTTTAACCCCATACATAGGATCTTGGCACTAGATAAATTACTTCACTTTTCACCTTCTAGAAGGCTGGGTAAGTGCTGTAATCCATTGTCGAGCATTTTGGTTGGAATGCTCAGCTGGAATGTGCTCTTTCTGAAAGCTGGCGAGGTCATCCTGTTACAAAGGATTAGAGAGACATTCATGTGTTTTCAGACAGCAAAATATTACTCAAGCACCTGCTTGAGTTAAATGTAGTTGTTGGACTGAAATTTGTTGGAAATGACTGTTTTTAATTCCATTTCAAACTGTCAAAATTACCTCATTTTTTCTGCCGGCTTTTCTTTAAGCTCAATTCAGCTTGTGTATAAACTTTCTTGCATAAGACATTTTTCTAAAAAAATGGTCTTAGTGAATTGAAGCTTCAGCATAAGTTTTGAAAGCGTAACTTGCATTGCTCTTTTTTGTTCATCTTCCATCTCACTGCTAGTTTGAATTGATCTATGTTGCTTGAGTCACTTCTGTGTTGTAAGTTTTCCATTGAATACAGCAATAAAGTACTTATGAACAAAAGGGAGAAGAAGGATTGAGGAAAGTTGGCTAAATTCTGTGAAAAGGTTGTTCAGAGTGCTTCAAGTATTTGCAATACTGAGTAATGTATATAACAAGTGTTGAATTTTATTAACTTTGAAGAGCTTTTGAGACAGAGCTTGGTTTATTGGATTCCTTTAATGTCTGTACTTTTAATTTGCGAGATGGATTAAGAGTCTTGTAAACTTCGGAACAACTTCTTTCCATTCCTGTTCTGTGGAATATACTAATGGATTTGAGATCAGCTGTGCAGGGCAGGAGAGGATAGCAGTATGCCCCTGCAAAGTGGTGATGTATAAATCCATTCCATCCATGCTGAGCGCTGCTGTTCTTGTGTTCCAGGTCCATCTGTGGTGCTGCCCCAGCCTGCTGTGGTACAGCTCCAGGCTTCTGGGGTGCTTCCTGCCTCCCAGCCAGTCCTTGCAGTCACTGGAGGGGCCCCAGCACTTCAGAACCACACGGTGAAGGCTCTGTCTCCAGCTGCTGGGAGCGGCTCCAGCAGTGGCAAAATCCCGGTGACGAAGCCCTTGCTCCAGAGCAGCTCGCCGGCCATGGGGCTGGATGTAAGTTCTGATTCTGACAGCTGCTGGCCAAGGCTTGTGCAGCTCTTGCGGTTACCTGCATGTGGGACCCAATGGTCCCTTCAGAGTCTCAGGAAAACCCTCAGTAGGATTTCCAGCTGTAAGCAGGGAATTCAGCAGCTTGGCACAGAACACGGAGGAGCAGCTAAATGTCTGCTGGCCTGCCTGGAGCTGCAGAGCAGGTGTGCAAGTGTAGTGGCAGAAGACAGTGCTGATTGACATTTACTGTAACTTGTCTTCTCAAGTGCAAGTTCTCAATGGCTGGACCTCTCTTACATACAGGAAAATTTGATAGATCTGATTTTTGGTTAGTGCTAAATCACTTTTCTAATCCATATAGTAAAAACATTTCTTTGGAAGCAGGTGAATTGGAAATTTCAATGCCTCATTCTCTTTCCATACCCATTTATCTCCCCAGATTTTACTAATAACTTTTAGAAACTTCAGTTACTGTGTTTCATATGATCCTAGTCTCTTCAGGCTCCCTTTTGGTCATTTATTGAATGAGTAGAAGAGGGCTAAGCTCTCAACAATTACAATGTGAATAAGTAAGTTTTTCAGTAGTAGCTCACAGTAAGCAGTAGGTGTAAAGTAGGTGTAAAGGGCTGCGTTTTGTAATGAAAATATTGTGCTACCAATAGTTTAGCAGCCAGAGTACAGTGGAAACTTGATATTCAAAGTGCAGAAAGCAAAGGTCTGTAGTAGGCAGGGCAGTTAAGTGTGCTGCATTTTTAATGATAATTGCCCATCATGCAAAGTTAAGTTGAGAGACCACAAATCAATGACCTGCAGTCACTTGATTTGTGACTCCCTGTAAGCAGGGCTAGCATGGCACCTTGCCATTGTCTGAATGTAAGGGTTAATTGACAAAACCCCCTCATTGTCATCATATTCCATATACATATCCATATCCACGACATCAGGAGTCAAATGTGTAGCTGGGGTACCAAGCAGGTGTTGGTTTCCAAGGGTGGTTGTGTTGGTATTTCCACACAAAGCCATTTTAGGGAAATAGTTTTAAGACTTGCGAAATGCTGCACTTCTTACCTGTGTTTGTTACAACATGAAAAAACAGTTGCAGCTGTTCTTTGGCACATGCTGTGAAAAAGTGCTTTGAGAAGAAACAAATGTTTTGGGATTCAGCTGGGGCCAGCAGGGTTAAAACATCTCCCGATTGCCTTGGACACGTATGTGGTGTTCAGGGCTGCACAGAGGGAACTGCCATTTGAGCTCTGCAACGCGTGTTATTGTTTCCTAATCTAAGCAAATGTTGCAGGATAAAGAGAAACATTGCAGGAGTTTCTTTTGGATTTAGGAGGGATAAACTGTTAGTTTAACATTCAGACTGGCAGTGGATTACATTGGTATAAGCTGATGGCTAGCTGTAGGTGTTAGGCCCCGTGTGTCCTGGTGGCACACGTGCAGCCCACCAGCCATGAAGGAAGTGCCAGAATACAGAAAATCTAGAAAAGATTAATTATGCAAAATAACTTCAGCATAAGTGTGGATTTCTATTTGAAGAATCCTCATTTCTGTGCTGTACGTTATGCTGTAATATTTGTGTGACGTAAACTCATTAAGCAAGTTGTGTTCTGTTGAGTTAGAGACAAAACCCAGAACTTCCATTAGAGCAAAAAAACCTTGCATATGTCCTGTATTCCTGCAATCAAAGATGAATCTTCAAAGACAGTAGCTTTCATAAGCTGAGGTAAGAAGCCAGCTCATGCTACATTGAATGGTTTGTATTTTCAGCTCTTTGTCAACTTTCCCAGCACATGTACAAAAACTCTTCAGAGTATGAGAGACATTCTTGCTTCCAGAAGTACAGCTTGTGTTGGAAGGGAGGTTAAATTTTGCTCATAACTGAGTTTTCTTTGGAAGTAAATGGAGGTGGCGGTGTTTATTTGTAAAGTGCATGACTCTGTGAAACCTCTGAAGATAGAGGACAATCTGAATCTGGTTAGTGCTCTTTAAAGCAAGGCTTTGCAATGAACCTGCCAGTTCCCCATATTTACAGCATTTCTGTGTGTGTCTCTGTTAGTGGTTTTCAAAGCTAGAAAGCAGAAGTTGCATCACTAATTACTGATTGTTTTTAAGGCCAAATTCTCCCTCTATGGTCTGTGTTTCCTTAGAACCAGGAGTTGCTCTCTTGAGTGGAACATCAGTACGATACAATTTTAAAAGTTGGAGGCTGTAAAAGAAATTAGCAGAGCTGTTTGCTACCTTTAATCTCGGTTCAGCATTTGTGCAAAGCAACGTTGCTGAAGCAGACTGACATTATAAATTAGTTCCTTTCCCTCCTGAGTATCAAAATGCTCGGGCAGGGGGCATATTTACCTTGGTGCTAGGCCAGCTGTGTGATGCTGATTACCATGCTGCTTCCAGGTTCAGCATTCCTGTAGCACTTTCACACAGCTCTTTCCATTTCCTGCATCACATTTAGTTGGGATTGGGTGTGCAGTTGTGGCATATTCTCTGAGAAAAGCCAGGCAAGACCTGGAGGGCTGACCAAGAAAGACCTTAAGCCGTTTAAGGATTGTAAATTAAAACAAAATAACTTAGGGACAACAAATACTGGATTTCATTTCAGCAGGGCTTAAAAATTAGTTAAAATGTAGTTGGTGAGGCATATACTGAAAGGCAGCTACTGCACAGAGTACCTGGAATCAGCTGGGGAGAGTTGCTGTTCCTCACAGCATTTGGGCAACTGTAAGTAAAGTAGACCAGTCTGGATAAGTGACACATAAAATGTAGATGGCAGTGTCTGAAACAGTGACAGATGTATGTTATGATGTACTTTTAGTATAGAGCCACTGCACTGGTGCTCTAACACCTTATTTTCTTCAGGGAAGCATGTAGATTTGCCAGAGGTTCCAGACATGTAATTAAAAGCTGTCCAGTAATGAATAATCCTGAGCAGGTCTGTAAACAAGAATGGATGAAAACAGTTTGGTCTTTTCTGAGTTCAAAATGCAGAATGTCTTTTTTGAAAGGGGAATGTAACTCCTTGTTTGGAATAGCACACAACTTGAGCCAAAGCTGCTGCATGAACTCATGCCTTGTTTTTTCATCTCTGAACAGTTTAAGTGATCCTGGCCCCAGACTGGTGTGTTCTGTATGCTGCAGTTCTTGGCTAGCCTGAATCTTTTTTTTGGTCCAGTTCTTATATGTCTGCAGAAGCTTTTTTATGTTAAATGTTGCACTTAAAAAATTCAAGACAAAGCTTAGTGTTAATGAAAATATGTTAAAATCTTTTCTTTCTCCACCCCATGCTAAAGAGAGAAACTGGAGTAAGTACAAACAGCTTCACTTTCATGGACTTTGGTTGGTGAAAGCAGGCTACATATATAATAAATGATCTTTATAAAAAGCAATTAGACCAACATGGAGGCAACCCAGAACATTAATGCACTGTAACACATTTTCTTCATCTTTGTCACCAAACTGCAGCATCAAGAAGGATGGTTCTTCAAACAGCTTGTGGCCACTTTTTGTTGAAGATGCCAGTGCCCTAGAGCAGCATATTGTCTGTGTGCAGGTAGATACAAGGAGAGAGTTGAAAAGCTTTGGTTAAGGTTTTTTGCATAGCCAGACTCAAAATCTGAGTTAGTTAATATTACTGTTCTGTGACAGATTATACTATTTCCCTAGAATAATACTTCTGGAATAGTTCTCATCTTTTTTCTTTAATGGTCCTGCTCTGGGAGATAGAGATTACACCAGAGCCTTTGCTGGTAGGTACTGAAGGATATTCAGGTCTATGTAAGATGGATCATTCAGTTATCTGTCAGTGTAATCGTCATTGAGGCACATCCCATTGCAGCTTAAAAATGTGATGGCATTCTTCTCTTCCTAATGAAAACACTGTTTCTAATCTGTGAGTGAAAGGAAATCAACAATCTAGTGTTTAAGCTTAGGATCTCAAGTAGTTTTGTATAGTTCTGCAGTATTCATCCTTGTTATCCTTGTCGGCAGCAAGATGCTTTTGGTCTGGGTTGTCCCACTCAGTGCAAGCCACAGAATGACTAAGTGGTAAAAGATGATGGAGTGTTCCTGCTTGGGAAAAAAATCAGTCATCGGGATTGTTGGAGGATGGGGAGGGGTTGCTTTGAGCTGTCCCAGTCTGGTCTTGCAGACTGAATGCCTGCTAGTGGTTAGAATGAATTATGTGCTCTCCTGGAGCATGTTTGCTGGTTGAGTTTCATCCCGAAGGAATCCAGTTTGTGTGCTCTCAGAGATTGGTCTGTGATGTGAAGCAAAGCATTTTTAGTGGGACAGTCAGGAAATGTGAACCCAAGCCACACTCCTGATCTGAATTAAGATGTTAGTGTAGATGCACCCAGAGAGTGCATTTAAACTCCCCTGCAAGTACTTGATACGCACAGAATGTGCAATCTGAGATCAGCAACACTATTCAAAATCTCAAAAACTGTGTAGCATAGGTGGTAAAGGTACAGAAGCAGGTGTAATCAGTATGGAAATGACTTCCATACAGAACAGACTGAAAAACCCTAGAAATTTTCTGTTAGGAAAGCAGATGACTGTAGCCTGAATGTAGCAGATGATTGTAGGCTGTAAAATGGTGCAGGGAGAAGTCAAGGTAAAAGACATTCTTGCTGCCTTGCAGACCTGAAGATAAGTTCTTTTCTGTCTTGTGATGTGATTGATCAAATCAAACTTGAGTATATGTTTGATGACCCCTGCATATAGAATGTTGAGAATACAGAAGAAAACAGAGAGTTGAGGACCTGTTTTTTCCTTAGGTATACCATGATCCTGAGGTGCCTCTGTGCTGACCATTGCAGCTCATTTGAAGCAGAGTATGGGAAACTATCTGTGCAGACCTCTGACAAAGCAGAGAAGCAGAAATTTTGTGTGGCATGGAGGCAGTTTTAACTTGTGGATTGTTAACAGCCTGTGTATTGTGTGTTCAGGTCAATGTCTTGAGGCGGCAGCAGCGCATGATTAAAAACCGTGAGTCAGCCTTTCAGTCACGCAAGAAAAAGAAGGAATACATGTTGGGACTGGAGGCCAGGCTGGAGGCAGCCCTGCTGGAGAATGAGAAACTCAAGAAAGAAAACAGCACGCTGAAGAGGCAGCTGGATGAAGTGGTACTAGAGGTAGGAGATTGGTGAAAGTCTGATTTCATATGAAGACAGTTGTTCAGGTGGAAGGCGCTACAACAGAGTTGGGGAAATATTGACTATAAGACCTTTGAGGGTTTCTAGCCCAGCATCCGGGTCCAAGCATGACTTTCACCAACTCTAGGTCAGGATAGCTGAGACATTATCTGATAGACTTTTCATTCTTTACTTCATGATGCTTCTGAATATTTCACTGGATAGAAGCTGATCATAATGTTTAAACCAAAGTTTTGTTTTTAAGTAGGTCAGGAACGTATTCCCACATAATTAGGCAAGTATAAATCTAAAAATCAAGTATAATTTGGTGTATGTACTTGGCTTCTGATATACCCCTGCATATGTGTACCTCTCTTCTACTCAGTGTCTTCTGTTTTCTCTGTCTAGAACCAGAAGCTCAAAGTATCGTCTCCGAAGAGAAGGACACTCTGTGTGATGGTGATACTGGCCTTTATAATGTTGAATTATGGTCCATTGAGGTAAGCTGCTTAGAAATTCCTCTTCGCCTGGCAAGTTTACTGTCCTGAGATTTTTTTTTGAATCATTAATAATAGCCAGTGTTGTTTTAAAGCCTTGAGCTTGAAATCTGAAATCTGTCATTTATTCTCCTCCTGCTTAGGGGAAGATGCCTCTGTATAATGTTTCCTCTTCTGGAATCCTTCTGGCAATAAGGGCTGGATCTTTTACATCTCATTTCTTCTGGTTTGGCATTTTTTAATTCAGTGCCAGGATTCAGCAGTTTGTCTGTTCCATTTATGCCTGTAGAGATTAAGAACTGTGTTTAGAATCCTTTTAGGAAAAAAAAGTCTGACTTGGAGAGCTTATCTGCTTGCTCATACCTGTGCTAATTTCAGTAGCTATGACTTGAAGCTGCTTTAGTATTCAAAATACTCAGGAAGCCCTGCTGTATATTCCATGCCTTGCAGCCCTGACTCTTAAGATGTGTCCAGCTCCCTCATTACAGAGTAAGCTCTTGTCTCCCAGGTCTGGTGAAGAAGTTGTTCCCTCTCTTTAATTAGTTGAAGTGGTAATCAGAAACTTCTCTTGTTTGAACTGTTATCAGTAGAGTGTAAAAGCCAGAGAACAGCAGGGAAAAGCTACATCACTTGCCAGACACTTTATAAAGAAATCTGTGGAAGAGGGGGAGAATAAAAAGAAATACTTCTTGCACATACCTATCTATTTAACTTGCTTTGGAACATAAAGACCTTTTTGATTGAGCTGTTCACTTTTTCAAAGAGGCATAATATTTCAGTAGGATCCCAGTCAGCAGTGTCTGCATTTGTCCTCAAAATCCCAGTCAAACTAAAGGAATGGGATAAATACGGAGGAAGATTTTGTTTCTGACTGTGATAAATTTTTAGAAAGTGATGTTTGTATTTTTAGTATTAGAAAAATTGCTAAAGCTGAAATTACTTCTGAAGTATTTGCACTTACTGCAAATATTGTTTATATTAGGAAGTGAAATACAGCTGATAATTTTGCTTTGATATGGATGATGTTAAGGTAGACCGTTTCTTAGTGTATTTAGGATTTGTGTTGTGATTTTTGACTATCGGGCAGAAAAGTCATCTTCCAGATACGAAGGGATTGATTTGTACATCCCATCTACATTTGAAGCATTACTATTCACTTGAGATAGACACTGGTTGAGAATTACTAGAGCCAGTCATCTTTCTGAAGCTGGGGGAAATGTACTTGTGTCTGCATTGCAGTGAGATGATGGAATGCATGAAATTCTTGTTCGTGATGAAAGGCTTGGGAACAGAGAGGTGGGTGGAAAGTCTTTTACCACAGTGCTCTGAAGTTTTGTGCCATCTTCCCTACCCCCAAAAATAAGCAAGGTGTTGAGCTCAGTGGCAAGGCACTGCTGTCAGAGTGGTCAGGAAGGTCATGTTGTGTTCATGTCTTTGCAGCACTCAGTAACTATAGGAATGTGACAGGGTTAACTTTCTGACAGGTTTAATGTTTAATAAAGTAGATAAAGCAAGAAGAAATCCTTGGGTGCCTGACTGTTCCTGGCCTGTAGAGTAGCTGAGCATGCCAGTGTAACTGCTGTGCCTGAACCAGGTGGTTTGCATCAGCACTGGATTTAGGCAACGAAGAGAAATGTAATTGCAGATTTGCAAGGAATTACTCCTCCTGTTTTTGTTTTTCTTTTTGTCCTCCCTAGCAGAAGAAATGCTCACACTGCAATTAAAATGCTGGGCTGTATCAAGGTGGTGTGAATGTTTGATTGTGCAATACTCTTTGGAAGACCCGGAATATGAGCTGTACAGACAATTTCTTTAGATTTCACTCCTCCCATACACATTTTCTTCCTTTTATAAAGGTGTCACTGAATGGCAGCTCCATGAACAGGACGGGATTGCTGTTCTGCTTAGTCCTTAACAACAGAAGCTTCCAATATATGTCCTTTGTTTCAGTCCCCGCAATTTCTTACAGAAACAAGTAACTCTTTTTGTGATAATATCCATGCTAGCTTATAGTTCAGCAAAAACACTATTTCCCCCCAGTTAGCTAACTGTGGAATCCCTAATTTCCATGCAGTGGTTAGCTGGAGGTAAATATGTTCTGAAACCTCGTGTTGCCAATTTTTCTATATAAGAAATCATTTCACTTATACACCTGAATGGAGGTGTGCCAGCATTTAGGCTCAGGATATTTTGCTCCAAACATACTAGCAGTGAATATTTTGTTACTTAAAACCAATTGCAAAGAGAGTGTGACATCCAAAAAAGCAAAATCATGGGAAATTCACCCCCTAAAATCTGTAGCAGACTTTTAAATTCCCTTAGCTGGCTTTATTGTAAGATGCTTTTCAAGTTGTGGGAAGTGGTAGGATTTTTTGAAGACTAGGGGTAAAACAAAAGGGCAGATGTATAGGTTACCTCTTTCTGTCAAACCAGAGAAAGCAGAGAAACAGTTGGATTGTTCAAGGTTGGGGATGTGAGGCTGAAGAGCAGGCAGTCCTGCAGTGGATCAGTGAAGGTGCAGTGTTTGGGCTCAGCATCCCCCAGAGCAATCCCATCTGGATGGGTGGCTGATCTCAGATTGCACATTCTGTGTGTATCTGTGTTTTCTCTGCATTAGTGTGTTGCACTAATAACGACTAACACATAATTTTTTTTAATCAGTCTTAAGTCTTGTTGCCTGTGTGTGTGGTGAGGCGTTTGTAATGTTTCGTGGAGGATGCTGAGACTGCTGTTCTGCTGTTTTAAGATTATGGAAAGCAGTCCAGGATGTGGCAGCCCTTGGCAAACGAGTTTAGCAGACAAAATTATTCTGCTGACACAGGTTTTCATGCTGACAGATAGCGTGGGGGTAATCTGTAATGCTGAACTTGGGAATTTGGGGGTGGGGGTGAAAGTCTGGTAGGGAAGTTGGCCTGTTGACACAAGAAATCTGTTTGAAAATACTGCAGGGAGAGTGCTGCCCAATCTGCTTAATTACTGACAAGCCTTTCAGTACATCCTTCAGTCTTTGATACAGCACCGTGGTATCTCTAAGAAAAGAATGCAAGTCTGATTGTATAGAAATTGAATGCCAGTGCAATTTGAAGATGTGAGGGGCTTGTGGGGAGCTGGTGGTCACTCTGCATTAGGTTAGTTCCGTGTTACTAAACTCTTTGGGTTTGTTGCTGCTTTGTATTGAAAACTGAAGCTTTCAGTTATTAAAAGCAGAACTAATTTAGCAGAAATTCTGTTAGTGTTTCTCTTTTATCTGTGTGTTTTATACTAAAAGAGAGGCGCCCAGGAATTTCCCATCTGTGTGTCAGTGAACTATTCTGTAATCTTAGTGAGTTATTTGGATTTGGATTCAACACATATAAAAACCTCCTTTTATTATTATTTGAGAGTGATTGGTGAGGTGTGTGGAGGGAGGAGGGTGTATTTTGGTTCAGTTCATTACTGAGATCACCCCCTTGCCCCAGCCTTGCATTCTGTGAGGTGCAAGGCAGGAGCTGGCAGCCAGCAGCGTTGGCCTAAAGGCAGGGAGCACACAGGCTTTGGCACAGAGCAGGGCTGGGAGCTGCAACCAGGGCATCTGGAGTTGGCTCTCCTGCCTCCATGTGTGCTTTCTGTGGAGCTGCTGTTGGTCCCACTCCCAGCTGCCATGGCATCCTTGAGGTATGGCTGGCTGCTGCCATTGACAAACATCTAATTAGCTGTGCTGGTTTTTTAGCACTTACATCATCAAATCTGGTCATTTTCAAATTATTTCAGCTCCTTGATGCCTTTTTCTCCTCCTTTGATTTCCACATTTGTGTTGGACTATGCCTTAGAGTAAACAGATCTGAAAATGTGTTAAACAAGCATGAACAAGGCTGAAACAAATGGCAACCAAGCACATGTTCTAGTCTAAACAATCCATATATTTATTTTGGAAATATTTTTATTTTGATTCTCTTCCCCGCTCTCATTTCAATATAAATTGTCTTGTATGTTTGTTTTGGTTTTTTTAATGCAAGTCCTACATGTGATAGTAAGATATTTGCAGGAAAATAACCCAAGTCACATGTAAAAAGCAGGAAAAGAAGAGCAATCACAGAAGATGCAAAAGATAAATTTTCTGCATCTCTTCTTGGGATCGTAGCAGCAAAGCATGTAAGCTGGTGGCTGTAGCATTATCTTTTTGGCTATAAAAAGTGTTCAGCTAGTTATTTCTTTCCCCATAATCAGTCTGCATAAGCTCACATGGTGGTTGTCACCTAGCAGCAATCTTAGAGCATTTATTAAGACGTCAGCCAGCCAGAATGTGTCCTAACTACCACTTTAGCTATGTAGTGGACAGAAAACAAAAATGTGAAGTTGGAGGGAGGAAAGGCAGATTTGCAAAGAGATGGGAACAGGAGGTTTGAGAGGGTGGTGTGATACTGGGTTTTTAGTATTATTATAAATTTTGTGTTTCCTTACAAGTTGGCCTCCTCTGTATGGCTGGAATCCCTTTCAAACTGGAAAACAGACTTGAAGATATGCAGGGAGCAGTATTTGTGATGGAGGATGAGTGAGGTGGTGATTGATGTAGCTCAGTACAGCTGCTGCTGCTGCTTCAGAACCTCTTGTGCCTCACTGACCTCAGGCAGCTGCAGTGGAATGGCTGGCCTTTAGCAGAGATATCATTGCAGCTCCTCTCCAGGGTGTCCTCATGGATTTTTCTCTACTTTCCAGGACTATCCTGGAAACTGAATAATCTATTAAAAATTTAGATCCACTGAGCAGTTGCAAATAAAGACGCTGGCCTGGCTGGCTGAGAAGTGATTTGTCATTTGAAATGAAGAAGCAGTGACTTTTAATTCCTGGAGGACTTAGGGGTGTGTCTAATTTCTTAAATTGGTTGCACAAACAGGAAAAAAAAATGCAGAAGTGCTAAGAATAATCATCTTTAATAAAAATGAGGAAATTGCCCAAGGATTGTTCAGTTTGCAAGCTACCATGACCTTCTGTTTGTGAGGATAAAGTAATGAAAATACAAGTCG